ATTGGAAAATCATAAAACATTGAGGATACTTGCTCTTCACGTCCATAAATAATGGCGATTCATTTGTGAAGTCTATTTACCTTCCATTTCAGATACAATGACTTGTTTTCTTTCGAAGTCATAAGGAATTTTCTATCGCACTTCCGGCAATCTACTGAATGTCTTTCTTGCACGCTCGAAGTGTGGTTTCGAAAAATTGCTTGCATACTAGCAACGTTGGTTTTCAATATATCAGGGTACTTTCTGAATGCCCCACGCAGGATTTTAGTTAGAACAATTTGCAGAAAGCGATTATCAGCCCATACAGGACCAGACGTTCCTTGGTGTCAGTTGGTCTGCTTGAATCGATCCTTGACAATGGACAAAAGAGAAGGAATGATACAAAAGGGCCGATACGTGGTTAACACTATATGTTCAACCTCTGATGTGTACGCTGTGTAAATCTGATAGAAAATAAATAAATTTGTGATTTCTGATAATGGTTAGTCTCATCGTCAAATCGCTAAGGAACGGGAACTCGATGCAACAGACGTACTTGCGGTAATGCTGCACGTTAAAGAGCTTTTGACTCATTCGTGCCTCTTGGCGGCGACACAGAAAGAGGGTATATGTCACGTGGACAATACATCTGGCGCAAGTCGGTCCATTGTTTATGAAGCAGTTCAAAATCGTATACGACAGAGGTCACTGTTTGTCGGCGCAAAGGTCAAACGGCCGACCATGAGTGACTGATGATTAAGATGCTATCAATGAAAGAACCGAAAACAGAAATTCGTTCTGACTTTAAGGGTTAGGCTGTTAATTTTATGCACTTAGTCTTGATGGGTTCTTGCGCTTCGATCAGAAATCCAATGCAAAAGCTAATCATCTCGACAACAAAGGCAGTGGTTCATTTTTTGACACGAAAAATGATGCGCAGACATAACAAGAGAAGGCAAAGCTCTTACCGGAATGCGTTGTTGAGCGGTTAAAATTCCAGACAGCGAAGTAGAGGCGGCTGTCAGAGAGCTGACTGAACCCTGATGGTAAATCGGTGGCGTATGTACAGACATAGAAGCACCGGGAAACGAGCCAGACGCTGAACTAGACACAGCCGAGTCGTGGCTGAAATTGCGGTGATCAGTCTAAATCACCAGAATCGCCAGTCAAATTACGACCAACAAGAGCTGTCAACCCACTGCTGAAACTTTGAATTTGGCGGCAGCCATCAGAGTGTCGGAAGACCGATACGTCGATGGCTGTTTACTGTCGAATCGAGGCACCCTTACGGCGTTCGAATCGGCGCTGATGGCGCCTTCCTTTGTTTTTGTTTTCACTGTAATAAACAGGGGCGGGTCATCACAAAGATCAGACCACCGGAGAAGTACATGATCGCCAGTCGGGCTTTCCATATCGCTGATCTTCTTGCCGTCCGCATACAGTAAGTAGCCCGTTACAGCGGCTAAGGACGGTGGTTTCGGTTGGTTTGTTACGGGCTGCCATGTAACAAGCAGTGTGCCGTCTTGAGGCCCAAGTTCACATTGGACATCGGCAGGGGGATCGGGAAGACCTACTGAAATCAACGGTGTTAGTCTTCGATTCATAACAACAAGTGTGAGAATAGAAATCAGTTGAACATAAATAGAATCTAATCAAAACACTTTACAACACTGAAGGCACGCTTTGCATACACATAATAACATACTACATTGGACTCAACTAAGCAGCAGGCGGCTTCTCGATATGCCCAATATTTATTAAGATTGAAATTTAAAAAAAATGCAGTATTAAATATTAACAGATTACTCATGCATCACAGAAATAAGACAAGGAAAAAAGATAGAGAAAGCTGGAATTTCGGAGGGGAATTTCTGAGCAAGCATTGCGAATGGACATTCACCATAATGACAGGCTAACGAGTGTCTTAGGATCAGTGACACCGATGACAGATATCTGAGACAAAAAAGGCGACCCTCTTCATCCAAAAATCTGGTTGTCAAAGCGCAAGTTAAGCTTATACACTTGAGCCGTTCGCTGTAGCAGAATGCCTCCAATCTGTGATGCTCGTTTTCGCTTTCTAATGTTGCAAGGCTTCGCTACGAGGAAAGAACGATTCTTTTGCAGGCATAGACGTGTCTCGTGTGCTCACCGATGTGTATTCACCTGTTTTCCATCGATCACGCGTCAGAGGTCGAGATGTTAGATGGTTCTTTTCAGCCCATTTAAGGAACCAGCTTTGCGTTTCTTCAGCTGTAGTTACGTTGAAGACATACGTTCCTTGAAGGGAACAGAGCCATTCCTTGCATACCTTGCAATTTAGCTTTCATTGCATGATTCATACATTGTTCAGTTTTCTTCGTTTATCGTTATTGAAACTAAAACGGTATCCATTCAACTTCAGTACAACTACACTGACTTGACCGAGGCAGGCAATAGATACCTTTCTTAAAAATCCGGCGTCTTCCCTTCTCAGCAAAGAAATTCTATAATATACTCAATTCAAATGTAGTTGAAGCAATCCTCGTAATCAGAATTAAGTGAATCTTCCAAACAGATGAACCTTTTGCATCGTATGACCTCTCTGCTATAGTTGTGAATCTTTTCCGCAGGTTGGCGGTTCTCACAACTTTTAACTTTGCGATGCTGAGGAAAAGACCGGCTTTAACAACTTTATAGCATCTACAAGCAGTCAAATGGCAAAGGCTATTGTTCATAGTACTTATTGGGATAGTAGCATTTGCATACTCCGTGTTAGCAAGATATCTCGTCCGATGTGTTGAAATGCACTCACTCTGAAATGAGGACTTCTCGTTTGCTCAGGTCAGCACTGTTTCAGAGGAGTAATTTCAAAAACAAAACGTTGAATATCAAAGGCAAAAGTACATCTTCAAGGCGTACTTCACACACATTGGCTGAGAAAAGCTCTGAAAACAGTTCTATGACTTGAATAATATAAATAGTTCAACCTGTACGTCATCTACAAAGTAGACAGAATGGGTTCGGCCATTCTGTAGCATTTGC